TGAAATTTAGTAATATTTGCTTTGTACAATAATTACCCACTAGCCATTCGAGCCTCTTGGACCATTAATTGAAAATTGCTCTTAATTACCCATACTTGCATTGAGAGTTTCTATCGCTTTAGGCCAGAAGAAATGAGTGACTGCCTTTTTAAAGAGGGCGAAGTAAAATTAATGGGTGAGGGCGTGTTTTCTTTTGTGGATAAAGTGTTATTATCAGTGCAACAAAAAGGTCACCTTTATTAATCATAATAATTATTTACAGTAATTAGGACAGATATCAAAGGAGCACTGTGCACGGTTCCCAGAGAAAATGGATTCTTCACGCTCAGAATTACTTCAAGGGTATGAATACACTGCGTTTATTTTACATGCAACAGGAAAATTATGAGGTCCAGTCTCAATTATGATTGCCACTTACACAAAGACTCATTTTACCACACCTTTTATGGATTCTTTTATTAGAAAAGTAAGGAGCTGAAGTATCAGAACGATTCAAGCTGATGAGAAGAATACTAACAGCAAAATTGATGTGGCAACTAAAAAGAAAAAAAAAATCTCTGAAGAACATATCAAGCATCCATACATAGCAATAATGTGGAAATAAAATTATATTATTATTTGCAGACTTATTGACCTTCAACTTTATTTAGAAATTCACTTTTTCTTTTGTTTTTTTTGTTTTTTTTATGTTAAAACAATTTACATAAGTGCAGTTCAAAGTCTACACTCAATAAAATATTCTGGATTTTGTTATTGAAATAATTTTAGAACATGTTGTTAATATATACTAATATTGCAAATTTTATTGCAATATTAGTAATATTTTATTGAACAACATCCTGAAATAAATGAAGATATATAAGCAGTGACCAAGCAAAGGTTGCCTTGATGTAGAGATCCTACATATGAAAACTGGTTCCTCTTTTCCCACTCTCCCCTATATTTGTTTCACAGAACCGACGTTCCAAAAACGAAAAGCCTCTTATCTGCATACCCTCACTTATTTGATGATATTATACTGTTCAACCACCATACATTTCAGCCTTTGATTTATACAACCTTCTTTACTCAGGAGATTTAGGGGGGAATTATTTTCTAATGTATTGTCAGTGAGAATAAAGCCCTCTATTGACATGTCTCCAATTATTAACACCCAGAAGGCTGAGCAGCTGAATGTTATCCAAGGTCAATACTTCTGAATGGTAATTCCTTTGCAAAATATGTACTTTGGCCTGTGGAAAGCAAATCACTCTGCATGAGTTGGAAAGCTTTTGCTGCCATTTGAAACTATCAGCACTGTGTGTTTTCCAGGTAACAAGCCTTGACGGCAAACATGACCAGAAATAATAATAATAAAAATCAGCAAACATTTATACGGTTGAGGGTGTCATTTTAGTGCAGTGTCTATAATAATTTAAAATGTCGTTTGACAATTGCTGGTTCTGATTTATAATTTCAGAAGACACATTTCCAACATTTGATTGTCTTTGCAGATTTTGCATTAAAATCTTGGAGTGGGCTGTTAAAGCAGTCAATAAACCGAATAAGACTTGGCAGAAGTACAATACGCATACAAATTGAATAACCGAAGGGCAACTTTTATTGCTTTCTACAATTCTGCATTGTCTGTAAAGTGACAAATAACTCTATTACACTTTACAGTGTGACACATTACACGTGCAGCCTGCAGAGCCAATGAGCTTTTGCGATGCCATGTTCCTTTCCTATCTTTAGAGCCGTTTAAATGGTAACAAGGGTAGAATTTTACGTTCCCAATACACAGGGGGTTACATGTCCTTGATTCGGATCTAATTGAAAAAATGGAATGAAAAAAGGCCCTGCGGGCTGTTAATATTTAAACTAATGTTGGTGTAATGGCAGGTCATTCAGCTGCAAAGAAAGTAGAATGAATGACTGGGGAATAGTCGCTTTGCTGTTGTAGGTGTGGGACATGCTGTGCCAATTCAGCCCAAAGAAAAGAGAAAAGGAAAATTTTATCAAAAGGAATGTTCAGATGATCATTTTAGTGCAGTCTTCATAACAGCGTTGTGAGTGGAATCCTTTGGTCAAATTAGCGTACAACTTTTTTTTCTTTTTTTTTTTTTCTCAACATTCACGCTTGAGGTTTAGGACTTTGTAGAACATGACAAGAGCAGTTAAATATCTAAAACATTTCAAGTATTTCAAGTGAACACAGCTTTCATGAAGTGTTTGGATTAGCCCTCTTGGTGTGGCCGGCGGGTCATTTTAAACATGCTGCTCCTCAGACACTCTCACTCACTTGTGCTTCAGCATTTAGTTCGCTTTCACAGAGACAGTTAGATCCACAGCAATTTAAATCCATGAAACAATTATATGAAGATTTTCTTTTTCTTTTTTTTTTTCTTTTTTTTTTTTGTTCTGTGTTATGAAGCTTTTATAAGGAATTGGATTTTGTTTGGGAAGATATGCTAGTGCCATTTGTTGTTCGTAAAAATGAAAATAACTAAAGAAATTGTTGTTTGCCTGTTAATTTAATTGATTTTATCTTAATTTAAAGTGCATTGTAAGTGCCCTAATTAAATATAGCAGTTAATGACAACATTATTTTACCAAAAAATGTTATACTTGACGATTATTTCTTTTACAATTTAATCATGCTGGGAGGCATGTTTACTCAATCAGACATGACCAACATTTCAGGTCAAGACTGCTATTATTTACAGAGTGTAGAAATGTCAGCCAGGCAGCCAGGAGAAGAGCTCCTCTGATGGTTTATTAGCAAGCCTGACACGCGAAACATTTGCAGCGTGTTTGTTTACAAGGATGGGTGGGGGAATGTTTGACATTTGTGCTTGGAGAAATGTGTTATGATCTTCCCAACATTTACGCCTTTTTGCTTAGGAACATGGGATCCTATTAGCCAGGCTTCAGTGAGACTCCCCTGTTAATTCTCTCTTTTTTTTTTCCTTTCTTCTTTTCTTTGTTGGCTGATTTAATACTCAGGAGAGCAAGAGCTCACATGGAAGAAAGCAACGTAAGCAGATGTGACAAAGAAAATGGTATAATTTAGTTTAAAGTGTTTAAATAGTATTGTCACTCTTGAGCATTTTGGCACGTATGCCTGAAGTCGTTGAAGATAAATGATTCCAATTTGCTTTTTAAAAACCGAGTTCATAGTTTGAACAGGGAAATGCTTAATGTTTTAGGATGCAGGTAGTGATGCCAGGCTGTGCAGTTCAACAGAAGAGATAATGCAGGTCTCTGGTGATGCTGATTGTGGTAGAAAGCTTTTAAAACACATTGTGTGGAGATGGTGTAACATTAGGCCACGCAAGATGCCCACACTGATCTATTTTTTTTTTTTTGTTCCTTTGTTTAAAGCACCCACAACTAGATTAGTATTAGATATAAACAAGAAAAACAACAAGGTGATATGGCCTGATGAATCATATTTTCTGTAGCAGCATGGTGATGGCCAGGTTTATATAAAAAAAAAATATATATATATGGCTGAGATGTAATATGGAGAGAAGTCACGTTGTCAGGGCAAATGTGATGCTTTCCATTATGTACTGCAGGGAAAACTTAGGTCTTGATTTCTTTATGCACATGTCACATTTACAAGAACTCCCTCCACACAATAAACAGCTGAGGCACATTGATTGAACACATAGAAGTGTCCAAGCATAAATGTACTTGAAGTTTCTTAAAAAAATGTCTTGTAGATTGTACATTGAGACAACTGCTAAAACTACTGAATGTGCATGTTAAATGATATAATCATAATCAAAATGTACAATATATTGTCTCAAGCCTTGGTTCTCAGTTCATCTTTGTTGGTTATGCTGAATTGTTGTCATTTCTTGAGAGAGCCAATTTATCTCTTGCCAGATTTAATTATGTCAGTCTCATAGTTGAGGTTAAATATATTTCCAGTATTTTAGCAAGAGTGACACAAATGACTAAGACAGAGGACATTCTCGTACAAGATTTATTTGAAACAAATTGAAGTGAATTTAAGCCAGTTTAAAAGTGCCTGTCAAAAAAAGACAGTTCATTTGACGAATGAGGTTAAAATGAATCTAACCAACCTCCAGTAAAACAACTAAAAAAATAAAAAATAAAAATGAGTCAGTCCTAAAAGACTGTCTTGACTCTTATTGCTTCACCAACAAATAGAAAAATGTATTTCTATACATTTTCTTTTCATTTTTACAGTATGTTTATTCAGCCATTGGCTTTCTTGACTGTACAATAAACAGTGCTGCATTTACTTGCTTGATCCCCTCGTCAGAATAGTTCTCCATGATTGTAGTGGCCTCTTCTAGGAGCAAAAATGTGCCCTGCCACACTGCAAAAATGATTAATGGATGGTTTTAGCAACACTTGCAGTGAGTTCAAAATGATTGCTGAGCCTCCAAATTTCAAACACTGAACCAACTCAGTATTTACTCCTTTATGATTATATATTGAAAAATCAAGTTTATACATGTTTTCAACAAGCTCAAATCTCTGGCAAACATAATGATTAAAAGAAAGCAGATGGACTTCTTTCTTAAAAAAAAATGTTATACTGGAGTCCTCAAGTGATTCAAAGAAAATAAAGCCCCAATTCAACATTATTCAGTTCTAAATTCTTGCCTAAAAGTCTCTGTTTTAAAGTAAAATTATTGCATCTGGGAACAATGGTGGGCACTCGGGATGATAATGTATACTGGTGTCCGCATCCAAAACTTATGAATATTTTGTTTCAGTGTGCAATCAGAACCTTTACATTAATCATTCATGGTTCTTGTGGCCCATTATTTCTGCTTTTAAATTATTAATGCTCTGCACTGACTTTCACATAATCAAGTACCTATATTTGGCTGCTTTATATTGCTACTGTAGATGCAGGCAGGATCATAAAAGATGCCATTAAGTGAAATAATAGGCCAGGAAAGTAGCTTTAGTGGATTCTACTCATGCACCTATTTTTAAGTTAAACAGGTGATGTAAATATCTGATTAATGAGCTAAATGCCTTTTTCATCTCTACCCCCTCTTCCCAAACCCTTTATCCATCTAGAGTTTTTCTTGGAGCTGTTGGACAACTCTGAAAAATCTCTCAACAGTATGTTTACAAGGACATACGGGAAGCTGTATGTGCAGAACTCTGAGGTGTTCCAGGACCTATTCACTGAACTAAAGCGCTATTACACGGGGGGCAACGTCAACTTGGAGGAGATGTTGAATGACTTCTGGTCCAGGCTGCTGGAACGCATGTTCCAGTTGCTTAACTCCCAGTATCACTTCACAGACGACTACCTGGAGTGTGTCACCAAATACACAGATCAGCTAAAGCCCTTTGGAGACGTGCCCAGGAAGCTGAAAGCTCAGGTCACCAGAGCATTCATTGCTGCACGGACATTTGTCCAAGGGCTAACGGTGGGTCGTGAGGTTGCCAACAGGGTCGCCAAGGTGAGAAAAAAATTTACATCTCCTAGCTACTGTAAATGTTTTGTGTTTTTTTTTTTTTTTTTTTTTTTTTTCTGCTTAAAATCTTCTGCTGTTTTCTAATGTATTGTTTTCAATTGACCTGAAGTTTATTCTGCTTAAGTTATTTTAACTCAATGTTTTTTGCACTCTACGGGCTGAGGTCATTTTCTACATGATGGTTTGAACTGACATGTCTAAATAAAGGTTTGTTTATTTATTGTGACTTTAGCTTTTAGCATTCAGTAAGACTAGTGGAGACTGTTGTGTGACACATGACAATTAAGTGCAGAGAGTGATGCTTACTCTCTTAGAGAAGACCAGTGATGCCAACACAAACACTTTAATTCTTTTTTTTTTCTTTGAGTAGAATAAATACCAGCTAAGAAAACAGATCATGTAAAGAGAAACCACAAACTGAGACACAGGTTGATCTATGCTTTAAGCTAAAGTGCATATAGTTAAAATATGATCCCAATAATTGTCAGGAAGATCTTTTCAGCTGCTGTAGATGCTGCTAAGACTAAATACAATGGACACTTGCAAATAAATGAGGGAGGTATTCAAATTCTCTTTTCTCAAGTATCATACATTGAACCACCTTCTCTCTCTGACGCTCTCTACAACACACTTGTCTTCCTCTTCTTTGCTCTTTATGTTACACTCCTTTAAAATCAGCTTTTATCTTATTAAGAGGTAAAAATGAAATGTTTTTGAGCGCTTCAGATCGTCAGATGTGGGTGGCCTATTTTCTATATGTAGAATTATCTCCACATAATTTGCTGTACAAAAACCTCAGAATCACCCACAGAGAGCAAAGCTTTGTAAAAAAGAGATTAAAGTGCATATCCAATGAGATTTCTTTCCTCCAAAACACTCATTGTTTTAAAATAAGCACAGAATTCCTGACATGGTATATCTGGTATGTCTATAGCTACTCATACTACATACACCAATGAGGCAAAACATAATGACCACTGACAGATAAAATGGATAACACTGAAAATCTGTTAATCATGGTAGCTGTTATTCGGTGTAATATATTAGGAAGCAAGGAGATATTTTGTTTTCATAATAGATGTTTTAGAAGTAAAAAGACGTGTGAAAATTCACAAAAGACCAAATTGTAATGACTAAATGACTTGGTAAGAGAATCTTCTAAGCTTATTTAGTTTTAAAGCTGTCTCCAATCAGCAGATGCAATAAAGTTTTGACTGCCTCTTGGCTCCAAGCCCACTCTGTATTTCAATGCAAAAGGGGGAATAAAATAAAGAGAAGAGAATAACAGACAAAACTACGAACCAGAGTAAAAGTGCAAAGAGGTAAATTAGATGTAAAATTTGAAAAAGACATTAGTTTAAATTTGGTGGAAAAACCTTTGAGCTGAAGATAGACAGATGTTTAATAAGCATGAAAACATTTCTAAAGTTGAGACTTGGTTCTTTGTGGTAGAATTGAATAGACAGGATTCCATAGATGTGTAATAAAGGCCAGAGTGAGAAAAACTCTTTGGTTAAATTCTTAATATTACAATCGGCATAATAAAAAGTAAAAAGCCTCACAGGCCTTACAGAGAATTCATGCATTACACTGCATATCTTATACCAAGACATTTGTGATTTAAGCAACTTTTAAACACATAGGAACCTTAACTTTCATTTCTATATTTTAATGCTGTGTTGTGTTTTGCATGCCCATCCCTATTTATAGTTGTGCTAGTTGCTTGTTATTGTAAAAAATTAAAAAGCCATTAGATTTTTTTCTAAACCTCTGCCATAAATGATCTCTCATTTTTTGATAATCTTCAACGCTCTTTTGTCCTACTACTGAGCTGCTATTAACTTCATTGACTGTGAAAAGTTGAGAAAAATGAATTTACACTGGACACCTCCACACTCACCACCTGCTACGACTAAGACCCACTGCAATTCTGAATCAGGTGTATCCTCATCAATTATTAGGTGCTTCCAGGAAGCAGTGTGGTACTGTAGAAAATTGTCAGACAGATGGACCTCCAGCAAATTCAGCATGAGAAGTTGACTGACACGAAAGAGTCATCTTTTCCACATAGCCAGTCTTTGTCATGTCATTAAAAATACATTCCATATCTCCTGGAACACATGAAATTTAGTTCGTGGTTGAAAATACCACCAAAGTACTTGAAACCTCCATTGAAAGGCAATGAGATTTTTTTTTTTATGTCCTTCACAGACATATGTGACGTGTCATGAAAAAAGTAGGAACCTGTCACCTGAGCAGAAATTGAGCATAAAGATAAAATATATATAAAGAAAAATGATAAAAATTTGAGGAAATAGTGATTTATTTATTTATTTATTTATTTATTTTTTTTTTTTGCAAAATATGTTAGTTGGATTCATGAAAAAAAAAAACACTCTGTACTTTAAGATTATGTTTTGGATGTTTTAAAAAAGAAATATTAACTTTGTGTTTGAATTCAGCTTTTTCATGGAGTAAATCCGAACTGTTTTGGGAGTGCAGGAAACGTCTTCTTCATTTTATTATTGATTTCTATGTGTTTGACATCATTAAAAAACTTAAAATCCACACTTTCGGAATATGTGAGTAACTCAAAACACTTGTGAGATATTGTTTTCTTCTGGTTTTGTCATGGCCAGTCACAAATGAGAATTGCTAATTTACTGTAATTTCATAATGCAGTGCTTGGCATATGACCTCATCTTGGATCTTAGTGAGTAAATTAAATAATTTTTATCATCATTTTTTGTGAAAAAGTACATATTACAATTAGACAGTGGTGGAATCAAATAAATGCCAATTTAGATCTTGATCATTTATTCATTAGGTAAGCAGAAAGAAGTATTTTTGTAAACATGTAGAGTCAAATTATGTCTGGGGTTACAGCTGAAACTGGTTAGACGAGACTAAAACTGATATTTCTGACAATTAAAACTCCTGGCTGGGAAACAAAGGATAAATAAGTTTGCAAGTACCTAATACCCATTAAATGGGTTGAAGGATATGCTGTGGGCCAATTTTATTGTCATGCTCTGGAAACCTATTTACACTGAATATAGTGCTCATTATAAAACCATTATTTTAAAAATTAAACCAGGTGGACTTGGCCATGAATACATTCAAATTAAAGGCTGATTTTGATTTTAATATACATTTTTAATCAGTCTTGGAATACACTAAAGCTTTTACAGAGCTTCACTACAAGTGTTAATAAGCTCCAAAGTTTTTTTTTTTTTTTTTTTTTTTTTTTTTTAATCTTTATTTTATCAGTTTTGGGTATAAAAACTATCTGGGTTTATGGGGGGGGGGGTAGAAGAGACAGCTCAATGTTATTGTAAAAATAAAACAATATTTACAAAATGAAGTGGAGATAAATCTTAAGCTTTTTTTATATATCATTATTTTCATTACTACCATGGGAAAAGACTAATTGTGCTTCTTATCAAGACAGTAGTGGAGAAATACAGTGAAACATGCGGTTATCCTTATCGCCTTTATGTGGAGTCATTTGCTTTTACTTAAATTACTTTTTTTAGTGCATGAATCATAATGGATACAGAGTGCTTTTCACATTAAAGATTGTCAGAGTATATACATTTAGGTAATTTCTTTCCCGGAAATTAGGCTATACTAAATGTGACATCAAAAGATGAGGCTATGGTATGCTGAGCGAATGTGAAGAATTTCAATTTCCTTTTGATTTTGTCCGAAAGGTAAAAAAGAACAATGTCCTTGACTAAGAGACCGCAAAATGAAGAACTGTCTAAGAAAAGGTATTTTCATCTTTCTGAAATATGTAGAGATGTAATGTGGTGTGTCGAATACCATGCACTACCCGGTTTGTTTGACCCCAACAAGTCATCATTAAGGTTTAATCCCAACAGTCTCAACTCAAACTGAACAAGTCAAAATGACAAAATGTTTATTTCCCCCTTCCCCTTGAAATGGCTGCTTTTAACCATCTGTCATTTCAGTTCTTCACATTACTTTGGAACAGAAGGATGCGCTGACAATGATGAGCCATACATAATTACTGCTAGTAGACAGCTCTCTGTGTACTAAAGCCAAAATAGGAGAGATATCCTTCCATAAAATGGGATTTCACTCATCTTGCACTGAACAGTTTCCTGAACCTTGATCCTGGATTAAGAGGAGGATCTCTCTGGCTTACAGTTTATGATGACCATTAAGAGTTTTATCCTGGATGTACTTAAAACACAGTCCAGCCACATTAGGACCTGCTCAGAGTAGATTGCAGGGATTTGGACCCTTTGAACGATTTAAAGTTCAGGCATTTAGAGCACTTATCGTTCACTCTCCATGCACATGGGAAGTTGGCCTAGTCTTGTGCGCATGTTTAGTCATGATGATGGAGGCGAGAGGGATATTTTGCACAGAGGGATTTGTTTTCCCTGACGGCTTATGGTGCACGTTGATCTCATTATACACTCATTTTCAAGCACAAACTGTCAGACGATGTCAAATTAAGCTTCAAGGCAATTTCTAATCTTTACACATTTACCTATGAATATTGTGCTTACAGATCCGTTTGTTGGCATGTGAGAAACATCATCATCGGGTTAGTGCGGTTTCCACAATGTTCCTTGATGTTTCATTTGGCTTTTTCTGAAACTACTTCTAGGCTAGAATAGCAACGTGCATTTAGCACTCAGCTGTGGTGTTGGCTTCACAGATGCATTATGGACTGCCAATATGTTTGCGCTTCAATTTAAACTAAGGGAATCCACTTAATGAAATCCACTTAAACTAAACTTTAAAATTAAATATGTTCATTTGTTTTACTTTGATTTGTTTAAGGAAAAAGCTGAAGCAGATGATGAATCACTGCTGCCTATAGATTATACACATACAATATTTCCAAAGGTATTGGCTCTCCTTGAAAATTTCTTTAGTTGCTTCATGATTTCTGTGCCCACAGGTGTTTACGCTTCTGCACCTAGACATGCAGACGGTTTCTACAAACT